AAGTATTACTCATTAAAATCAATCAAAAAAAAATCTTGAAGTTATGTCATTTTTTCTAAAAAATCTCAAATTGCTCAAATTGAATCCAATCCACTGATTCAAATTTTCTGCGAAATATCATGGAACTGTTTTAGAAAATTCATAACTTCCGCAATTGTCTATTGATTTGTTTAAGTGGTACCTATTTTTACTCGGAATGAAACATTCCGTTCGAAGTAATGTCTTAAAGATACTATTTTCTTTTGAAATGTTGGCAAAAAAATGTTGTTAAAGTGGAAAAAATAATGCAAATTGGTGTAAATTTCAGATTTATTCCAAAAATTCTCCACTTATTTACAATGTTATTATATAAATAGTATAAATATTCGTTTTTCCAAAGCCATATAAAATTGGTTAAAAAATAGACGAGTTTCGTGACTTACTCGACCCTGAAACCTACGACCTAGGTCACTTGAAAAGTTCATGGTCAGTGTAACACCGTGTTATTTTCATTAAAGTTTGGATAGTTGTTTGTTGCCTTGGGCATTTAAGAAGGATACTTAATGATAGCACTTGATTAGATATAAATCTGGGTCGTCCCCGTTTATGTGAATCCGATTGTTCTATGAACACTTTTCTATATTTTTGTTGTTTAGTGCCAAATTTATTTTTCATCAATTCATCATTCAATCGATTCCAACACGCTGCTTAATAGTATCTATTACCATGTCAAGGCTTTTCCATATTCTTCAAGAGAGACCCAAGCAAAATCCCATTCTCAAAATTTCAGACTTCGTACTCAATTTGTTCTAATCAATTTAAGTGAAAGGTATGAAATTTTAAGCGTAAAAAGCAATTGCTTAGTTTTTATGTGTATTACCCAATGAAAGAATCCCTTGGCCTTATCATTTTCCCAATGATTCCGTTTACCTGACCTGATGCTCCCTGTCTTTGCTATCGAACGAATCAATGTGGTAAAAGCTTCCCTCTTAGCGAGGAAGAAATTCCTTTGCTTTGGCCACCTCGATGCATAGTCGGCAGTCTTGAATACAGGTTCAGATGCGTAAGATCCATCTCTTGCTCATGGCAAAAATTCTTGATTGCCGAAACCAAAATGACTTATAATCCAGGTCCTCTGTTTCAACTAAAAAATACAGGAAATATTTACCAACATTAGGGTGCATCACTCTTCATACAAAAAGAAAAGTTGTACTGTTTTTCCATCGGGATTATAAAATCTATTTAGCCTTATCGCCAATTGCATGTGAACATTAATAGGCAAAAAACAAAAACAAATAGGAAAAAATGCTTTTGTTTTGCTTTATAATTTTTGAGAGAATTTGTTCACATGGAAATCTTGTACTTCGAAATTCTATTATCAACTTTTTAGCACTTAACCACACACCCGTGTCAAAATTATGAGCGCATCACAGATGGACAAGTTTTAACAATTATTTTTTTATTATTTAATTTCAGCATGTTTTTTTTATATAAATATAGTTCAGTTTTTAGCAAAAACCGTACTAATCCAAATTTTGAACTTTGTGCAATATTTAACAAAAAAGAAATAAAAAAATGTCCGACTTTTGAGTTAGATTTTTTAGAAAGATTGTGAGCATGCAATTTTGTGGCCCATTAAATTTTTTATTTTTTTTTTATAATAAAATTCAAGGTTTAGGTAGCTAAGACTTATTGTTACCAAAACTATTCTGAAAGTTTGAAACTTTGATTTATAAGGTTTTGTTTAAAGATTGGACAATATTTATTATAAAAAAAATCAACACGCGGTCACTTGTCTGAGTCACTATATGTGGTACTTTGCCTAAATGCATCTTTCCGTTAAAAAAATCCTACTTTTAACTACATACTCTCTTCTCTCTCTAATTTGTGTAAAAAAATGTTGAAAAAATAAGAAAAATAAAATTGTAGACAAAACAATAATGCTAATACAATCGCTTTTTTATGCACACCCACATATACATACATACATACTTGTATGAAAATAAATGAGCAAAATATATATTGTAATATTAAGAGAAAATAAAAAAATGCAATAGTACAAGCGAAAATTCTCTGAACTATCTGTATAAAATTCGTCAAATCGACTCACTACTCTTATCGTACTTTTGCTTTATTTTTGTGCGAATTTGTGTACGCTTTGTTAGTTATGTGTTTGCTTTTCATGCTTTTGGAAGTGTTGCATTTTAGTTTTTTGGCAGTGTTTTTTGAAGCTCTCATCCAAATCATAAGCTCATGATAGTTTTCGCTAAAAAAACAGCCATCAAAGGTAAACACCATGAGGGTATACTTGTAGGAGATATTTGTAGGGTAGGGAGTGTATGGTATGTGGCCACAGATGCCCTATGCACCTCTCCCTGAAGGGCTGAAAGGGCAGCAACCATTCTGGCTTCCGCATTTCCTTCGACTCTCTCATACGCCCTGGTACCCATTGCAATTGGTTAGCATTATCCTCTGGCAGAGCATTAAATTTCTCTACACACTCTAGGACCATTGAGGCCTTAACCTATCTATTACTTAATAAAAGGATCCTCTCACTTTGATAATTCCTGCTAAGGCTGATCTCACCACATGAAGGCATTTGAGAACGAGTGATAGGTATCAAGAGGAATTTTTTCACTGCAGGATGTGGTTTTAGCCCTTTTAAGCATACTATAATAAATTATATATTTTATCTAATTTATTTTTTGTTTTCAAATATTAGAGCCCCATTGTAAAATGCAAATGCAATAAACCCACAAAAACATTTACGTATATAAGTATCTGTACAAATATTTAGGTATTAATTTATGTTCTCAAAATATAGCGCATTCCAAAATTTAACAAAAAGGAATTTTTTATTCGACTACGTAACTTATGTGAAAAAGATAATGTTTTAAATATTTCATGAAATAGCCTTGCACTCCATATTTACCCATAAATAAAAGAGAAAATCTTCATTTCTCGCCAAATCATAGATTTTCTTAGATTTTAGAAATTAATTACAAATTCTTCGCAAGTTTACTATGATTTCTATAAACCATCATGCTTATCGCAGATTGCATAATTTTGCCGAATATATGTATACACTGACCCAAACAAGTGTTCAAATAATAATTTGTTTTTAAATATTAAAAATGTTTTTCCATTCAAAATGTTTTTCTTATAAAAATATATTTCATGTTTTAACCAAAGCCATATAAAACGTTTGAAAAAATTCAGAAACACCAAAAAAAAAAAAATTTCATCAAAATTTCGAATTTTAATCCGAATTTAAAAAATGGGTATGTAGCCCAAAAAATGTTAGCCCAATAAAGTGCAAGTTTCAGGCAACTAAAAAGGCGCGTTTATTTTTTATAATTTTTTTTTGCTGGCGAATTTTTGCACTTTTTTCAAAAACACATGAAGTAAAATGCGCAAAACCGTTTTGCAAAAAAATTAAAAAAAAATAATCAACACTAGTTTTTATATGGGCTATAAATTGCATGCCCAAAAGTGTTCTAAAGGTTCAGATTAAAAGTTCGAAATTTTGGGGGACATTTTTTGAATTTTTCCAAATTTTGTATGAAATTTCAAACCTTCATTTACAGGAGTTTGGTTTAAGCATGAAAAATATTATTATAAAAAAAAGTTCCAAAAAAATTTTACAAAGCTTTGCAAAACATTGCAAATATTAAGAAAATCATGTGCAAACTTGTTTGAGTCACTATATTTCTACTTCGTTTTATACATTTGATCTATTTTTTACTACTTCCATTTTTTTTGCATACATACATATCTACTACTTATTTCTTTCTCGCCAAAATCGCAAATTGCAAAACGCCTACACAACTACATACATACTTAGTATACTTACATACATATAAATTATATACTTATTATTACATACTGTTCGATGATAAATATATAATTATGTTAAATATTGTATTATGTATCTACATATATGTATGTATTTGCGTCTTTTATCTGCGTAAAATGATACATTTTGTTTGTAAATACAGCTGAATTAAAAAAATACAATTAAACTACAAAAAAAAAAAAAAAAAAATAATAAATAGCGGAAAATGTGAAAAGAATTAAGTATATTACCGCGAAATACCAATACAAAAAAAAAAAAATATAAATGAACTGTTTTGTGTAAGTTAAATGATAATAATAACGAATCATAGCTGATGATTGTAATGACAATGACGATGATGATGATGAAATAAAAATAAAGAATTATTAAATTGATGTGTTACTTAATATTTTTACACCCTCCCTACTACTCTGCCTCTACTAATTCTGCCTTGTTTTCGAGTCACAATATACCTGTTGAACGGAAGTAGAACATTGATTGACTATTTGCTGTTGCCTACATTTAGGCGCCGTAAAAACTTTAGCCGTGGCGCTTGACGGAAGCTGCGCCAACGACAGCCATGCCTGTGAGAAATGGCTTACGACTTTTGTATGAGTTCAGAAAATATTGGCGATTGCTAATCCCTTAGTAAAATCATAGAAACCAAAAGTGAAAAGTGAACCGGGTCGAGGAAAATGAAACTCATGATGGCTGACTGTTTATCAACTTAAGAACGGTTTGAAAATATTAGAGATTTTTTTTTTTATCAAAACAAACACAACGAAATGATATTTGGGTATAAAAATTGTTAATTTATACATAACTTAGCACATTTATAGTTTGTGTCAAAAAAAAAAAGATAAAGAAAGTAAAATCTTACAAAACTTTACCACAAATGCCTAAACGGTCGGAATAATTTTTGTCGCAGAATTTTCGATATCAATTGTGTTTCTTTTGTACGATCTTTGACGATTTAAATTCAATCTTCAAAGACAGACTGTCAAAGAAACATTTTTTTTTAAAGAAAATTTTTCGAATCTAAGGCCCTTATTATGAGCTGCATTCGATTTTCGATCTTCGCTGGTTATCGAAGATCGAAGATCGAATGTAAAATTGGTATTATGAGCTATGCAACTCTGTCGAAATTTTCGTTGAGTATCGAATTTTCAGTCGAACAGAATTTTGCTTTCGATGCTGTAGCGTAGTGTGAGAAAATTGTTGAAAATGTAAGTATTTTGCGTTTGTTTTTTATTTTTTAGCGTCTAAACGCTAATTTTAAACAATTTGTATTAATTTGATGCAGGTCTAAGGTCGTGAGTACTAAACAGCAACTCGAAAGGCTGGTTTCATTGATGGAAGAAAATCCTCAACTTGCGAAAGGGATTTGTACGAAGCTTCAGGCGGCAAAAAAGTGGGAAGATATTGCGCTGGAGCTCAATTGTTTAGGACCACCAATTAGAACGACAGCAAAGTGGATTAAGGTGAATTAAAGTAATTTTTCATTGTATAAGAAAATTTCAGCTTTGTGTTTTCAGGTGTGGGCTGACATGAAATCGAAGACCAAAAAGAAAATGTCACAAAATAAGGCTGAATACCGAGCAACAGGTGGAGGACCAAACAGGCTTCAATCTTATACAAATATTGAGGAGGCCATAATTGGATTACTCGAGCTTGATGCCTGTGTGAATCCACCAGGAGCGGAATTCGGCCTAGATATAAGTGATAATCAGCGCCTAGATTCGCCTGAGCCGGCTCCAGCAGATGAAAACCAGCCACCATTCGATTTGGAAACGAGCAATGAAGACCGAAACTATGCAGTTGGCGAAAATACAACACGAACCCCCCAGAAAAAAACGGTGCCACAAAACGGAGAGACTGAGGTTGTTGGAAGCCCAGACAAATGCCCAGAAGGCTTTTTATGAAAACGTAATTTCGAACATAAATGAAATTAAAAAAAGTGCTAGGGAAACTGAAAAATACGCAAAAAGAACGTACTACTTAAAAAAAGACTCAACCAAAGAACTCTTACAAATGAAAAAAGAAAAATTAGAAATTTATAAAAGTGAAGTTATGAGAAAGCAGCAAGATCGGAAAGCAAAATTGCAACTAAAGGTTGCACTTTTAGAAATGAAGAAAAAAATGTTGCCTAAACCATAACTTATAATTATATTTTTAGCGAATGCATTCAAGTGTTAATTTTTTAGTAGTATTAAGAAGGCTTTATTAATCTTTAAGTAATATATGTAAGTGAATTAATGATATTTTTTGCCTGTGATATGAATTGAGAAAGGCTGTAAAAACTTTTATGTAGATTTTTTAAAAACATGAATTTATGTGATTTTTTATTCAATTTTTAATGTGCATATGTACCTTCATATCTTAAACCAATAATATTTATGAATTTAATAAAAGATACTGGAATACCTTTATTAATACTTTTTCAGTTATTTACAAGGTTCTTAAAATTTCATTTCTGATGTCTTCTGCTTCTGAATTCTCAATTGATTCCATCTCAACGACTCCGGCATCATCGTCGTGAGGCTCATTTGAAAACTCTTCTCCGTCGGGTATTTCTACATTATAGAATTGACAAATGTTGTGCAAAGCTGCGCACACATTTATTATTTGTGTAGCTTTCTTTGGAGTGTAATGAAGAGCTCTCGCTTGCAATAAACATCTGAATCTATTTTTTAAAACTCCGATTGTTCGCTCTATAATATTTCTGGCTTTTGCATGTTGTTTGTTGTATGTTCTTTGAGGAGATCCTTCCTCAGAATTTCTGAACGGCGTCATCAAGTATGGTTTAAGAGCGTAACCAGCATCACCTAACGTGGATAAAAATAATTTAAAAAAAGGAAATAAATGTAGGTTTTGTATTTGATCATACCCAGTAGCCAAGTATTACGAATACCATTATGATGTTGCTGTTCTAAGTGTGCTTTCAATGATGACATATGAAAAACCATGGAATCATGTGTCGCTCCCGGATTTTTTGCATTTATGTATCTTATTTTCATTGTGTGATCACAAACCTAAAAAAATACAAAAGTGTACACATCTACAATTAGAGATTCTTAGCATGTATGTACGAAAATATATATACTTACAACCATAGCATTAATGCTGAAGAATCCTTTTCTGTTGTAATATAAATGCTGGAATTCCTTCTTGGGAGCGACAATTTTAATGTGCGTCCCATCAACACAGCCGATTATTCCTGGAATTCTGCTTTTGCTGTAAAAATGTGCTTTCGCTTGTTGCAGTTCAACCCCTGTGTAGATGAATTTTATCCATCTTTGGCAAATGAAATTTTCCAAAACATCAAGCACTTCTGATATCACCACAGACACCGTGGGCTGCGCAAGCCCAAGCATATTTTCATTCCCAATACTCAGTTGGTACGATCCCTGAGCACAAAATCGCAGAACTGTTGCTAGTTTTAAGATATTTGCAATAGATTTGGCTCGAGTGCATTGCTGCAACAGGTCTTCTGTAGCGGACAGCAGGTCCACAAACGCCTCTTTAGACAGTCGGAAGTTTTTTATAAATCTGTAGACAAATAATTATAAATACTATATATAAATATGTGAAAATATATCCAAAAGGCCAGACTTACGCGGTTGAATCCATTTCTAAGGGATTGGAAGCGTCCCTTAAACGTTTTCTATTCCTGGCCAGTTCCACTAAATTCTCATCCTCTGAGGAATCGTCGAACCATAACTCCGTTGTACTCATCTTCACTAAGTTCTTATCAGCTCGCTTTATTTTTTACTTGATTTTAATTAACACAAATTTACATAAAACGTTGTAATAAACACGCTTTCTTTTCTTTTAGTTTGCTTAATATGTAAACAAAGCATCTCAGCTGTCAAAAATATACTATTGTGAACAACCTAAACGAGCGAAATTCACAATAGCGCTATTCTTCATCGAATGAGCGCCATAATACCAAATGAAAATTCGTTCGCTCAGCACTTTCGACTACAGTCGAAAATCGAATGCAACTCATAATAGGGGCCTAAGATATTTTAAAGAGAAACATACTAATAACGCGAAAAATTGTGAATAAGTCGAACATTAAAGAATTTTCCAATTCAGAAAGTACAGCAACAAAAACAGCATGGTTAGTATAACTTTAAGCTCCTCACCTGAAAAGGTGCGCCAACCGGCTAGTCTTATTATGGCGCCGAAACCAGTGCATCCACGTGCCGTTCGCACGCATGGCTTCTTCGGCGTTTCATATGTGCGCCAACACATGGTGGTCGACGATCGTTGGACACCAACTTCGCTGACAGAGCAATTCAAGGGCATGGCTGATTTGTTATGTAAGTTGGTCATAACCGCATAGAGAAGCGGAGGGCGTAATCGTAAGCACTCCTTTCCTGTACAGCAAAGCGTTTGGTATTTAAAAAACTCGAAGCGGCCGCTAACCACAAGCGTTACGTACGCGAGAATCGCAATTTGAAGCGTCAATGTCGCGACGGCCGCACTAAGCTCTCCAATGTACTCTATGGCGACAATACCAAGAAAATTAGGAATTTTTTGATCAATCACAAGGATATGCAACGTTTGTATCAGAAAATGCCCGTAGAGTTGGTGGTGGACAATATAAATCAGCGTACGTTTGTGATGCGCAAGGAGCGAGATCGTTTGAAGTTTCGTTTGGATCAATTGAAAAATGTTTATAAGGATAAGTTGGTGAGTTGAGTGGGCGGTGAGCAGGAAGAGGAAAAAGTGGAATTTTCGAAAATCTTTTATCCTTTTTCTATACTTTTTCTTTAATGCTTAATGCTTTATCTTGCATTATATCTTCACTTTTATTTATTAATTTTATTTTTTAATATTTTTCCTTTATAACTTTTCTTTCTATTATCTGTTATCTATTATCTGCTATCTATTATCTATTATCTATTATCTATTATCTATTATCTATTATCT